CCCAATGCAGGGAGCTGGGGTTCAATCCCTGGTCCTGGAACTAGATCTCGCATGCTGCAGTTAAGACCCAGCACAGCCAAAGGTGGGGGCGGGTAGGAATCACTGTGGCTTTCACAAGTCTAAAACAGATGTTAGGACATTTTCCTTGTGACTAATCTCAAACTCCTGTGACACCCCTTTTGGAAACTTATAGTAGAGATCTATATGTATGGGGAAATTAGGGTTGGGGTGTGGTCACAATGTTCACACTATGAGCGAGATGTGCAAATGTTTTTTTTAAGTATCTCTGTGATGGCTCAGATGGTAAAGAATCCACCTGCAATATAGGAGACCCAGGTTCGATCCCTGGGTCAGGAAGATCCTCTGGAGAAGGGAATGGCAACCCACTCCAGTATTCTTGCCCTGAGAATTCCATAGACAGATGAGCCTGGCAGGCTACAGTCCATGGGATCACAAAGTGTTGAACATGACTGAGTGATTAACACTTTCACTACTTCCACATAATTGAACTTAGATTTCTCAGAAGACTTTCTTTACAGGAAACTTCAGCTTACCAGCTAACAGTCTCTTCTGGGTTTAAAAAAAGCCAGTTTGGGGTAAATCTTAGTCGATTTGAAATTCAAACTCCCTCTGAAACTGTCTCCTCCAAAGTTCTTCCCTCCACTTCTTCTTCCAAAGATGTTATTTCGTTGCAAGGGGAAAGGACCCTGGTTCTCCGGCTGACCTTCTCCCCTGGCTCCTGCTCACTCCCGTGAGGTACAGCTCCCCTCACCACATGTCTGCTTTGGCCTCTGTACTGGTCGAACCCCTGCCTGACCCATTCAAGCCTGAAGTTCTGTTTTCTCTGCTGCCTTCTTCGGCTGCTGCCCGGGAGTCTTGGGTATGGTGGTGATCCTTTGGGATGCTTCCTAGCTCCAACTTTAGCTACCTCAGTCGCCTCACTGGGAGCTCGTAGGGACTTCTGAAACCCTTCATGCTTCATAGCATTAAAGAAGCCTTAGGTGCCACCTCTAACCCTCTTTCTGCTCAATTCACCTGTGGCTGCCATTTCCATCTATTGTAACTGCCTCGTGGATGCTCTATGAGTCAGTTTCCTTTAATAGTTCAAAACATAAATAGGCTGTACTTTCCAAGTTTCAGCTTCCCTTTCAACCTCTCTGGGGTTCTTATTATCATTTCCCTCCCCCCTCACTCATGATAAATTCCCTGGCCTACTTTTAGTGGCTGCCTGGAAGTCCTTTTATAAGGAACTGCACTTGGCCATGGGTAGGAGGAACCTGACCATTGTGGTTTAGCCACATCAGGGGTTATTTTTCTCATGTATCAAGAAGTACAGGACTGGTGCAGGAAGTCTGGGATGACATCAAGGATCCAGGCATGGACTTCCCTGGCGGTTCAGTGGTTGGGACTCCACACTTCCAATGTAGGGGGCACGGGTTTGATCCCTAGTTGGGGAACTGAGATCCCATGTGCCGCACGGTGAGGCCAAACACTTTTTAAAAAAAGGATCCTGGCATCTTCTGTCTTCCTGCTCTGCCAAACTTAGTGTGTGGCTCTTATCCTCATGGTCACTTCCAGACATCATGTTTACATTCCAGAATAGAATAAAATACTATTCTGTCATTAAATGCTATTATCATGGAAATTTTTTTATGAGTGGCAACACAGTTATTGAAATATAATCCCATTTATATGTAGTATTTGTCATTTGTCTACCAGCACTCTATCCTTCCATGGGCAATGGCACCTGATCTTTCTTTCTTTCTTTTTAAAAATTTATTTATTTGGCTGCACTGGGTCTTAATTACAGCATGTGGGACCCTTTTAGTCATGACATGTGGGATCTAGTTCACAGATCAGGGATCAGACCTGCACCCCATGAATTAGGACCTCAGAGTCTTAGTCACTGGACCACAAGGAAGTGAAAGTCACTCAGTTGTGTCCAACTCTTGGCAACCCCATGGACTGTAGCCTGCCAGGCTCCTCTGTCCATGGGATTCTCCAGGCAAGGATACTGGAGTGGGTAGCCTATCACTTCTCCAGGGGATCTTCCCTACCCAGGGATAGAAACGGTGTCTCCTGCATTGCAGGTGGATTCTTTACCGGCTGAGTCCCAATCTTTCTTTAGAAAACGGCACCTAGTGGTTCAGATGGGAACTGCCACGTTATTAGGCCACCTCTGTCTCTGGGTTTGGATTAGAGGTGGAACTTGACCAGCCCTGAGGCAGTCACAGCACTGGGTCACTTTTCACATGACGATTTGTCAGGGAACATGTGAGTTACCCAAGCTGAGCCTATGAGGGACCTTCCCTGGGACTTTTTAAGCTAAAACCAAAAGGGAAGACCTTTCCCTCTTTGGAATTGAAAATGAGAAGATGTGAATTTGCAGGGCAGTGGCGTCTCTCACAAGTCCAACTGCAGTCTGAGAGAAATGAGGTAAACATGGAGAGAGGCAAGCCAAGAGCAGGAGCCCTGAGGCAGTCCTGAGAATATTTGAGTCTTTGGTTACTGAGTCCAGAAATAACCCTGAAGGTTTCTTTTATGAGTCAGTAAATAGTCCTTTCTTGACTAAGCTAGTTTGAATGGTAAAGTTCAGGCACTCGAGTTTTGTTTTTTTTTTTTTGGTCTTCTCTGATGGTTTTTATTCTTATTTTAAAATTTTAATTGGAGGATAACTGTTTTACAATGTTGTGTTGGTTCTGCTGTGTAACAACAGGAATCAATTATGAGTATATGTACATCCCCTCCCTCAGGAGCCTCCCTCCCACCCACCCCTGACTCTTTTTTTAATCATTATTTTAAAGAAATTTTGCTTTGGCCACACCACATGTGGAACCCTCACTCCCTGCACAGGAAATAGAGAGTATTAACCACTGGACCAGCAGGGAAGGACCCTAGGCACTCAAAATTTTAAAATTCCCCACTAATGCCCCATTTCTATTTAAAAAAATATCCAAGCATGTGTAGACACACAAACACACATGTATATGCACATAAACATTTGCTCATCTGCATCTTAAATATTCCTCAATGAATACATTAATTTTTTAATGCCATGTTTTACAGTGAGCCATTTAAGCTAAGTGAAAAAGGTTCAGATAACTAACATAAAAAGGAATAAAATTAGAAACAAAATGAGCAACTTTCATCCTTTTTAATAATAAAAAATAGTAAAAAAAAAAAAAAAGCTAAACCCTTTTAAGCTGAATCATTTCCAGGATAATTAACCAATTCAGCTCCTTGGTAGAAATTCAGAAGAAAACATCTAATGCCTAGGTCTACATGATAAAAAGAATCAGGCAGGGATTATCACCAACTGGTATATAGTAATGGGGTAGTTCTTTTAAGAGCCCCCTCTTTACCGAAGATGGAGTTCAGCATGTCCTCATTTGAAGGGAAGCCCAAGGTTTCTAGAGGGCCTCCCCACCACACCCCCTGCCAAGATCTGGAAACCAACTTCATTTCCTGTCTCTGGTAACCCGACAGCCCTTATAAAAAGACTTTTCTGTGCACTGTGAACCTTCTGAGAAGGGCTTTGTGACCCTCAGAGGCTAACTTCTACAAGACAGAAACTCTCTATTTAAAAATGCGTGTTGAAATCACATATTCCATCACCATGGGGAGTTTCTTATTTTCTCTAACAAAGGACTTTTATTTATTTTTATGAGTATGTGAGTAATATGAAAAACTATTTGAAACACTAGAAATGTAGCTCAATGAGAAGAGAGAAATCTTATCACCCATTAAAAACCATTGTTGATATGTTACTACCTATCAGTGTGTGTGTGTGTGTATGTGTGTGATAGGAAATTTTGGCTGGGCAGAAGCTAGAGTTTGGATATCTCAGGGGAGAATAGGAGCCTCCTTCCTTTCTTTCCTTACTGCATTTTCTGTTAAGTGTGTGGGCATCAGGTGTATTTTCTTTTTTTATTCAAATGAGAGAGGAGATTTTTGACGCAGAGTTGCCTGGGGCGGAGAAGAAGCGAGGAAGACAATTTAAGGAATGGTGTGGTATCTGCTTTATTTTTTCTTCCATTACAGTAGGCCAAGAAAAGGACAGAACTGTTTCACAGAGGCTGACCTTGATCTTGGCCACTGGCATTTCTCTTCAGGGCACAGGTGAAGCAATGCAACCCAGACCTGGAGCAAGGATGTGTGTATGTGTGTGTGTGTGTGTGTGTGTGTGTGTGTACCTGCTCAGTCACTCAGTCATGTCCGGCTCCTTGGGACCCCATGGACTGCAGCTCGCCGTCCGTGGGGGCTTTTCAGGCAAGAGTACTGAAGTGGGTTGCCATGCCCTCCTTCAGGGGATCTTCCTGATGCAGGGATCAAACCCTCTCCCACGTGTCTCTGGCATTGGCAGGTGAGTTCTTTATCACTGTGCGGATCCTCTCTTAGTCCATGGGCGATGGAGATGCTGCCTGGTGGAGCAGCTCTCTGAATCAAGGCCGTTGCAGACAGGCCAGGGTGAGGAGAAGGATGTGGGATGTGCAAAACAAGAGAAATAGTGCCATATCTGAGGATTATGGAAAAAAGGGAAGAATTTCCTGGGTGAGGGTGGGGAAGGACTCTGAGGTCTTGTAGTCTAGGAGACGGGATTTAGAGCAATGCTCTCAAACTTGAACATACATACGAATCATCTGGGGAGAAAGCTTTTTTAAATTTTACTTTTAAACACCTCTTATTATTTTGATTGTTTTTCTTTCAAGGATCATTGACGACAACACTCTATTTATAGGGGAATTTTTACTTTACATTCACTTACATGGAAGATCCAAAATAAATCCCAAAGATTTTTAAGCTGTACTACTTGGGGAACAATAAATATCAGATGGCATTTCTTTCTAATACAATGATTTAAGCAACATTTTCTTTTCCTATCCTGTGGGAACAAAAGGAAGCAATACATGATTTTTTTTAAAGGTTGCAGGTGATGTGCCTTTACTTCTAAAACTTTTTGGAGATAAAAATTTATGTAACGTGCCTAGTTTCTAAGGATCATGTCTGCGAGTCAGGATTCCCGATCCAGAGACAATGGCCCCGATGGGATGGAACCCGAAGGCGTCATCGAGAGTAACTGGAATGAGATTGTCGACAGCTTTGATGACATGAACCTCTCAGAGTCACTCCTCCGTGGCATATATGCCTATGGTTTTGAGAAGCCCTCTGCCATCCAGCAGCGAGCCATTCTTCCTTGTATCAAGGGTTATGATGTGATTGCTCAAGCCCAATCTGGGACTGGGAAAACAGCCACTTTTGCCATATCAGTTCTGCAACAGATTGAACTAGATCTAAAGGCCACCCAGGCCTTGGTCCTGGCACCCACTAGAGAGTTGGCCCAGCAGATACAGAAGGTAGTTATGGCCTTAGGAGATTACATGGGTGCCTCGTGCCATGCCTGCATTGGGGGTACCAATGTACGTGCTGAGGTGCAGAAGCTGCAGATGGAAGCCTCTCATATCATTGTGGGTACCCCAGGCCGTGTGTTCGACATGCTTAACCGGAGATACTTGTCTCCCAAATACATCAAGATGTTTGTACTGGATGAAGCTGATGAAATGTTAAGCCGTGGATTCAAGGACCAGATATATGACATATTCCAGAAGCTCAACAGCAACACCCAGGTGGTTTTGCTGTCAGCTACAATGCCTTCTGATGTGCTTGAGGTGACCAAGAAGTTCATGAGGGACCCAATTAGAATTCTTGTCAAGAAGGAAGAGTTGACGCTGGAGGGTATCCGTCAATTCTACATCAATGTGGAACGAGAGGAGTGGAAGCTGGACACACTGTGCGACTTGTATGAAACCCTGACCATTACCCAGGCAGTCATCTTCATCAACACCCGGAGGAAGGTGGACTGGCTCACTGAGAAGATGCATGCCCGAGACTTCACGGTCTCTGCCATGCACGGAGACATGGACCAAAAAGAACGAGACGTTATCATGAGGGAGTTCCGCTCTGGCTCTAGCAGAGTATTGATTACCACTGACCTACTGGCCAGAGGCATTGATGTACAGCAAGTTTCCTTAGTCATCAACTATGATCTCCCCACCAATAGGGAAAACTATATCCACAGAATCGGTCGTGGCGGACGTTTCGGCCGTAAGGGTGTGGCTATTAACATGGTGACAGAAGAAGACAAGAGGACTCTTCGAGACATCAAGACCTTCTACAACACCTCCATTGAGGAAATGCCCCTCAATGTTGCTGACCTCATCTGAGGGGGGCTGTTGTGCTACCTAGCACCAGCCAGGGATAAAACCTTGGAGGGGGCTGAGGAGCAGCAGGAGGGGGGAGGGAAGGGAGCCAAGGGATGGACATCTTGTCATTTTTTTCTTTTTTTTTTTCTTTGACTCTTTGAATAAATGTCACTTTTTGAGGCAAAAAAAAAAAAAATTTATGTAATGTAACATTTCAAAAATTTAAGTGTACAACCCAGTGGGGTTTAGTATATTCACAATGTTGGGCAACCATCACCACTACCTAATTCGAAAAAATTTCCATCATCCCCAAAAAAACCCCTTACTCATTAGCAGGGAATTCCAATGCCTCCCTTCTTCCATTCCCCATGCAAATTCTAATCTACTTTCTGTCTTATGGATTTGCCTATCCTGGACATTTCATATGAAGGGAATCATACAATATGTGGCCTTTTTTGCCTGGCTTCTTTCACTTAACATAATATTTTCAAGGCTTGTCCATGTTGTAACATATATCAAAACTTCATTCCTTTCTATGGCTGAATGATAATCCGTGGTATGGTTGTACCAGGGCTTCCCCGGTGGCTCAGACGGTAAACAATCTACCTGCAATGCGGGAGACCCAGGTTTGATCCCTGGGTTGGGAAGATCCCCTGGAGAAAGGAATAGCAACCCACTGCAGTATTCTTGCCTGGAGAATTCCATGGGCAGAGGAGCCTGGCGGGCTACAGTTCATGGGGTTGCAAAAAGTCGGACAAGACTGAGTGACAACAAACACACACACACACACACACACACACACCACAGATACACCATGTTTTGTTTATCCACTCAGCAGTTGATGTGGAAGCTTACATTTTCTTTTTTAAAATATTTATTTATTTGGCTGCGTCAAGTCTTACTTGTGGCATGTGGTATCTAGTTCCCTGGCCAGGGATCGAACCCAGGCCCCCTGCATTGGAAGCATGGAGTTTTAGCCACTGGCCCACCAGGGAAGTCCTGGAGCTTGTATTTTAAATACATATTTGGATTCAGTAGGGCCTGAGGTTCTGCATTTCTGGCAGACTCCCAAGTGTTGTCCCATATTGCTGGTTCAAGGACTTCACTTTGAGTAGTGAGGATTTAGAAATCAAGACTACACTGTAGAGCATCACAATTTGGGATATTAATATAAACACGCACCTGAAACATATTGGTTAAACACTCTCATACACACTTAAAAAAAAAAAAGAGTTGAATCATGCTGTTAAAATTGTTTCATCAAAGCTGATCAGGATTTTTCTTTTCTTTTTTTTTGAAGTATTTATTAATCTTTAGCATGGAGTTCTGCCTTCTTTAAAGTTATTACTCACCATGAACACATGAAAGAACTGTTGTTTCACACCTTGCACTTGACCTTAGCAAACATTTGCAGTTACTGATATCTATAAGCAATGAATGATCATATTAACCATGTGTGAGTGCATGCTAACTGGCTTCAACTGTGTCCAACTCTTTGCAACCCCATGGACTGTAGCCCACCAGGCTCCTCTGTCCATGGGATTCTCCAGGAAAGAATACTGGAGTGGGTAGCCATGTCCTACTCCAGGAAATCTTCCCCACCCAGGGATTGAACCCCCATCTCCTGTGCCTCCTGCATTGACAGGCGGGTTCTTTACCAGCTGAGCCATTGGGGAAGCCCCATATTAACCCCATAATTAAGGAAAGTTTCTTATCAACAAAGGAGATTTTACCTCCCTGATTTATGAATTCTCTAATCCCTTTTCCTTGTTACAGGTAGTTCCCATAGGAGATGGGAGCGCCTCTTCTGTGAGAACATTTCTGAGCCCAGGGTACTGAGGGATGTATTGATACACATCAGCCTAAAGAAATGAACATATTTCATCTAAACTGCCACTTATGTACCTCTGAGAAAGGGAATAAAACTGCCAGTTACACTCTGATATGTTGTCACCTCAAAGATGCATCCTGTGATACTGAAAGGTAAGACATGTGCATTCCAGAGTGAGTGGAACATGGTGGTGCTCTCGTCTGTACCAGACTCAGACTCTGTGCCCTTACAAGCCCTGCGCTTGCCTGCATTAGAAGCACAGAGTATTAACCACTGGACCACCAGGGAAGTCCCATTCTAGAGCTATTTTGAGTGGATTTCCATTCCTTGAAAACAAACATTCCCTAAATAAGTAAAACAATGGTAACTGAAAAAGCAAGTCAGAGGGAACTCCCTGGTGATGCAGTGACTATTAAGACAGTGCAGGGGTGCGGGTTTGGTCCCTGGTTTGGGAACTAAGATCTCACATGCCACACAGCATGGCCCAAAAAAAAAGCAAGTTAGAAATATAATCTTTGCAATCCAAGGCAGAGAACACTGATATTGTCCAATCTCAGTGACCACAGATTAATACTCCTTGGCCTTTAATTCATAGGGCTCTTTTCTTCCTTTTAAAGTAGATAATACATTACTACACTTCCATGTCCAAGATCTCAAACAATTTAGAAAAACTGAATACCCACTCCATGACTTCAGCAATGCTGCTTTTTTCTCTACTCCAAGGTAACCATTGTGAATGGTCTAGTGAATGTGAGACTTTTTTTTTTCTTATTTATATGTGTACTTTTTTCATATATAGTACCACACACTGGGGAAAACAGTCTTGTAGGCCAAATATAGCCTATAATGGGTTTTGTTTAACTCACACAGAATTTTTTAAAATTTGAAATAGAGGACTTCCCTGGTGATCCAGTGACTAAGATTCTGCACTTTCAATGCAGGGGGCCTGGATTTGATACCTGGTCAGGGCAACCCACTCCAGTACTCTTGCCTGGAAAATCCCATGGACGGGAGGAGCCTGGTAGGCTGCAGTCCATGGGGTCCCTACAAGTCGGACATGACTGAGCGATTTCACTTTCCTTTTTTACTTTCATGCATTGGAGAAGGAAATGGCAACCCACTCCAGTGTTCTTGCCTGCAGAATCCCAGGGATGGGGGAGCCTGGTGGGCTGCCATCTATGGGGTCGCACAGAGTTGGACACAACTGAAGCGACTTGGCAGCAGCAGGGGAACTAGATCCCACATGCTGCAAGTAAAACCCAGTGCAGCCAGATAAATAAATAATATAAATATTAGAAATAAAAGAAAACTGGAAATAGTCATCAACATTTTAAATTGGGATAGTTCATGAAAATCTTAAAAACCTGGAGATAAGTCATCACTGGGTGCCTACTTCTGCCTGAAAACAATTGACTGTTGCTGAGCAGTGGGCTGCCCCCTGCAGCTGGGGTGAGCGCTCCTCTTCCTAGCCCCCCTCTTCCCAGATGTCTTCTCTTAGTTCACCCCATCATTTATGTTACCTGCATGGCCTGTATAAGCATTCACTTTTTTTTTTTTTAACCTTTATACATATTGTTCTGTAACTCTCTTTTTTCACTTAAAAACATCCCAGGGGCATCCTGCTATGCAAATACATACTGATATATCTTATTCTTTTTTTTTTTAATTATGTATTTATTTTTGGCTGAGCTGGGTCTTCTTGCTGTGCTCGGGCTTTTCTCTAGCTGCACTCTTCTGTTGCGGTGTGTGGGCTTCTCATTGTGGTAGCTTCTCTTGTTGTGGTTCCCAGGCTCAAGAGTACGGGCTCAGCAGTTGTGAAACATGGGCTTAGCTGCTCCATGGCACATGGCATCTTCCTGGACCAGGGATCGAACCCCTATCCCCTGCATTGGTGAGTGGATTCTAATTCACTGAGCTACCAGGGAAGTCTGATCTTACTGTTTTTACTAGGTACAATCCATTCTCATTGTCCATAGATTCCGTACTTGAAAATTTACCTATTCTCAAAAATTATTTGTAATTCCAACGTCAATGATCATTGCATTTCTAGGGCCATTTGCAGACATGTGCAGAACTGCAAAAAGTTTGAGTCATTTGATGAGTGTGTTCCAGCTGAGGTTGAACAAGGCCATGTTCTGCCTCCAGCTTCAGCTCTCATACTGCAAACGAATATCCTTTGTGTGTTTCATTTAATGCCACTTTTTTTGTTGTTGTATTTTGTGGTTTTTGTTGTTGATTTCCCTTCACCAGATCCCCAGGGTGGGAAGCCTGACATTGGGCTCAGAACCTTCACAACAGTGAGAGAACTTCTTTGGTATTATTGTTCCCCAGTTTTGTGGGTCACCCACCTGGCAGGTATGGGGTTTGATTTTATTGTGATTGCACCCCTCCTACCATCTCATTGGGGCTTCTTCTTTCTCTTTGGATGTGGGGTATCTTTTTTTGGTGGGTTCTGGCGTCCTCCTGTCAATGGTTGTTGAGTAGCTAGTTGTGATTTTGGTGCTCTTGCAGGAAGAGATGAGTGCATGTCCTTCTACTCTGCCATTTTGAGATAGTCTCCTGATTTCACTTTTTAAATGGCTCCCAAATGTAGTGTTGAAGTGCTGTGTAGTATTTCTGGGATCCAGAAGGCTGGAATGTGTCTTATGGAGAAAATATGTGTGTTAGGTAACCTTCCTTCAGGCATGAGTCACAGTGTTCTTGGTTGTGAGTTCCATGCTAATGAATCAACAATACCTTACACCTAGAACAAGGAAGAGAAACTTAGCTGACCTGTATATGAGGCTCCTCCAAAAAGTGCTAAAGTAACATTTATAGTGTGTGATAAAGTTATAGAAAAGATGGACTAAATTTATAGATTCGTGAGATGACAAGCAATAAAATAGCACAATTGACAGCACTGTTGTGAGGTTTGAAAGATAAAGAAATTTATAGTCATATTGACTCAGGAAAATGTTAAATCTTTTCAGCAAGTGCTGGCTGGCTCAAATATTTCAAAAGTCAGTAAGGGCATGAAAAATATTAAATTTTCAGGCAAGGCTGGCTCTGCAGATCAAGAGGCTATGGTAAAATTTTTTTTAAAACCTGTTAAGTGTTATACAGGAAAAGGGTTATATGGAAGAGTAAGTTTACACTGCTGATGAAATAAATTTGTTTTACAAGGATGTTGGCAAATGAACCCACACAACAC